TGTTAAAAATTTAAAAAATAAACAATTTAGATTTTCAGTACAAATCGACAATTTCATACTTTAACCCCTATTATGTTGTATATGTGATTTAAATGTTCTCTCATAACTACTTATACCATAACCCAGGGGTTCCCAAACTTATTTTGTCTACTGCCCACTTTGAAAATAAATTCTTTTTTTCGCCCCCATTTTTTCACCTACTTAAAAACCACTATAACTTCAAATTAAATTAATTATTGTGAACTATATTAGCGGAGATTAAACATTCATTCTAAACGAGACTTACTATAACCCGCAAGAGTTAACTTGAGATCTGGGCGCAGTAGGTAGTACACAACGGCGCTTAGGTCTCAAGTTTACTCTCGGGCAACACCTGCCAATGAGAATGATTATTGAAACGCAACTTTGTAGTATTCAGACAGAGTATTTTTTATTCAAAATAAAACAAACATAATCGATTCTAATATAAAAACTAATGTGAAGGATGAATCTGATGCTGTTTAATAAGTTTGTAATATCAGGTTCCAATTTACTCAAGAACAGCCGCAAGTCACCACGTTCGGTAACATACAAACGATTTCTCTTTTTAGTAAGCAGCGTTGTCACAGCACTAAAACCACGTTCACACAAATATGACGATGGGAATGCTATCAGGAATAGTTGAACTATTTGACCACAATCCAGGGTACAATTGCGGGATCGGGTTTTGTAACCAAAATTTTTGGTAGCCATTTTTGAACTTTATTTTTATTTCCTCGTTCGTTGTCAATTCTATAAGTTCTTCTTCCAGCTGAGGTGATATTGCTGTGTTGACATTTGAAACCGGATCCAACACTCAGTCTGATATTTCCAAGTTCAAAATGTCCTGGTATCGTTCGGTGAAGTCAATGTGGAGGTTTTCCAAATGTTGGCTATTAGGCAAACAAGTCGTCGTTACTGCAGGATACTAATAAATTCGGAAAACTGTGAAACTCACGTCTGCCCATATTCTTTTTGTGTAGAAGCAGTTTGACTTCGAAAGCAGCAACGACATTTTTTGCTTTAAATTAAATTTAGTTCATCGCCTTCCAATTGGAGATTCATGTCGTTAAACAATTTATACAGGTCTGTCATGTAAGCTATATCATTCTTTGATATAATGAGCTTGTTGCGCAATTGTGTATCTTTAGTTTCCAAGAACTTTATCACAGAGTCAAACAGGTTGTAAAATCGAGTCAGACAATTGCCTCTTGATAGCCAACGAACTTCAGTATGAAACAACACACGGTTGAAATCTTCGTCATTAGTAACACAAAGCTGATGAAATAATCTATCATTCAAAGAGCTGTTACCGATTTTATTGACTGCTTTGATGACATATTGCAGTGATTGAATTAGTTGTTCACTTAAATTTCTGGCAACCAAATGTTGTCTATGAATAACGCAATGTACAGCAAGGACATCTGGAATTTTATTTTTTAAGTACGCTATGAAGCCTTTATGGCACGCTGTCATAGCCGGAGCGCCATCCGTAGCAACTGATATAATATTTTTCAAGGGAATCTCTTTCTCATCACAAAACTTTTCCAATGTATTGAATTGGTTTCGCCTTTTGTATCGGTCTCTAAATTTCTAGCAAACAATAGTTCTTCACATATTTTCTCATCTTTAATAAACCTCACGTAAGACAGCAACAATGCTTCATTAGTTGGTAAAGTGGACTCATCGAACTGAATTGAGAATTGCCTAGTCCTCAGATGATTGCACAATGATTCTTCAATGTTTTCAGCCATTTCATCAATTCGTCTTTGCACAGAATTATTGCTGAAAGGAATTTTTCGGATAATATCTGCGGCCGGTTTATGAAGCACAGTAGTTATTGCTGGCAAAATTAACTCTTCTCCGATGTTGTGTGGTTTGCCTTTTTGAGCATTTAACAAAGAGATATTGTACGAAGCTCGAAGTCCGTCGTTATCTTGTTTAGTAGCCGCCGAAAAGAGTTTTGCCACACTTGGCTCAGTATTATGCTTCTTCTCTAGGTCTTGAAAATATACTACATTCTTGTCTTTCTTATCTGGATGCATTTTATTCAAATGATCTTGCAGTCTTGAAGGCACAAAGGCGACGATGGGTTTGTGGGATTTTCAATGAATCCGAATTTAACATATTCCGCACAGTATTACCGTCTCTTTTTTTTTTTACTTCCAACATTGTTTTGTTTTGAGAAATACGTAAGTCAGTGTTGAACCTAAGTACTGCTTATCTATTACTCGCGAAACCGCAAACGAAAATAAAATAAATATTACGTTGTTTATATAGGATTACATAAGCAGCACGCACCGACAGGAATAAGACAAACATGTATAAACTCGTTTATCTCATTCGATGCTCACTGGTACTCAACAAGTAAGAACAAGTATCCTATGAACCAGCCGATTGATACAGGAAAGCACAAATCGGGTTATTTAACAAAAACTTGTTAAAACATGATTGCCAGCGGTCTATTATCTAAGAAAATTACCTATCTAGGAATACTAATAACTATTAAAATGCGAAACTGTGACTGTTGTCTTTTTATTTGTTTGTTTGTGTCTACTTTCATTTCGAAACGGACCGACCGATTGACATGATTTTTAGTTTATTTATTCAATAAAACAGGATAGGTATATGAACTACACGGAGAGAAATATCGAACAGAGTTAGTTTGAGCAATCTCTTAATTAATATTAGTTGATGTTTACAAGTTGTAACCGAGAGTCGAGAGCTCAGTCGGTGTCTAAAGGTCGTATTCCAGAACTCTACTCAATGCTCAAGTCAGGATTTGAGCAGATTTGAGTATGATTTCAAGCACTAGAAATACGACCCTAATGGCAAGGACTTGAGTATGATTTTCATTGCTCACTGCAATACTCAAGTCCTGACTTGAGTATTGAGTAGAGTTTCCTAGATGAAATTACAAATCTCCCCCTAAGCCTCTAAACAACGCCCCCATTTTTGTTCTGGGTCCTTTAGGCCTGCAGCGTTCACAAGGGGACGTTATCGCCCACTTTGGGAAAGGCTGCCATAACCAATTATGCTGTCCGCTAATGTCAAATATAATATTCTTGAAGTGCCATATGGTAGTTTGTGACGCAGTATAGAAAGCTTTGCCGCTACAGCACGTAACAGACTGTAAGCCGAAAAAGCAGCTCCGCTGTTGTTTTTACCATATAACTGATAAAATTACACAACGATTAAGCTAGGCAGATTGATTGTTTACATCATGATTGATTCTTTTATTAATGAATGTCACAAAATCATTGAAATAATGTTTTAATACAATACCGATATATAGTAGCAGAAGAGCTCCTTGTGAAAGAGTTCGTCCAGGGAAGTACTGCCACCTTACCTATTTCTGCCGCCAAGCAATTATATCAGCATTACGGTGTTTCAGTTATGAAGGGTGCTGGTGAAATTACAGGCACATGGGACTTGTCTCAGGGTGACGGGGGCAGTGGCAGTACCCCTCAGATCTTTGCGATTTAAAGCTCTAAGGAAATTGCAACTGTTATGGTCAGGCTTACCATCAGGCACACCACTTGTTCGTCCCATCACTTGATATAATAAAAATAAAGAAAAAACCGAAGAAAATAGAAAGGTTTTTCATATAGATACATTCGGTAGGATGTACATTTTCGCGTTTTTTTTTAAATACTTATAATAGGCGTCAGCATCCGCTGATGTTAAAGTAAAAAAATCAGCATCCGCTGATGTTGTAAAAAAGTGCATCAGCAGCAACCCTCGTCTCTACTTTTTATTCAATGTTTTCAGGTATAGCCTTTGACCAGGGCAAAACGTTACCCACGCCAGAGACAATACCTTTCCGTTTGACCCAAGATATAGTAGCTGGATTCGGGTGCAGCGGTGTGGAGGGTATATTCAGGAGGTACTTTTTTCAACATGTTGATATACATTCTTCTATTATAGTAACTAGATACCGACAGATTAAGGATTCATTTTTTTGTTATTTTAGATGCTGTGAGAAAACCATGCAACTGTTGCGAGACAACCAAGATACGTTGTTAACAATATTGGAAGTATTGCTTTGTGACCCGCTGTACTCGTGGACCGTTACTTCTAAGCAACAAGATGTTTTGACAATTCGTAAGTGCTGCCGGACAAATCGTCCTCACCATAGCCGTTACGAGGGCCACACTGAAAGTTTTGCACAACTCATAAATAAAACTATTTAAAACGATATTAATATGTTTATTGCTTTTCAAAATATTCTCCGTTACGTTTTATACACTTTTTTATACGCTCTGATGTGAGTTCGTGCGGTATCCAGCGACAACAAAGTTTTCTGACTTACAAATGTTTGTGCAAATTTTTTTTAATTTGACTCATACCAATCCCTAATTGTCCACAAATCTCGTCGTAGGTGATACGCCGATTTTCTTGTATGAGTCGCTTGACAGTAACCACGTTTTCATTATTCACTGCAGTTGACGGACGACCTTCACGAATCTCATCATGGAGACAAACACGACCACGATTAATTTCAGCGTACCAACGCCTAACAGTCCTTAAATGTGGTGCTCCAAGCCCAAAAGCATTTTGAAGGCGAGCACACCACTCTTGTGGAGAAAGAGAACTTTTAAAGTCATAAAAAATCATCACTCTAAAATCTTTACGCGAAAGTACAATTCAACTGGTCAAATTTAAAAAAATACAAGCAATTTCCCCCAAAAAATTATTTCATTCGATAGATAGAATATTTTTTTTTTTTAAACATAACATTTGAATTTCGAATATTAATGCGCCGCCAGGAGTGCAAAACTTTGAGTGTGGCCTACGTACTACTACTACTACTACTACTACGAAATACATGCCAAGTTTGCCCTGGGCTCTTTTCGACATATGCTTATTGGCTCCATACAATTTTTAATGTATGTCGTCTGGTACCTGTGACGATTTCTTTGGGCCAATGCCATTAGTTAATTATCTTGTTTTACAGAAACAGCAAGTTCAGACGGTAGTCTCGCCAAGCGAGCGTTGCTAACAGTAAGTAGCAAGCTGAGCGGCACAGAAGGAGGAGTCACTGGTGGAGTTGCTGTCCCCGGACAAGTGGCTAGGCTTATCCACACTGCTATGGACCCAGTTAACCTCAGCCGGCTATATCCAGGCTGGCAACCTTATTTGTAATCAACTCAAGTGTCATATGGATAACGTGTAACAATCCAAACAATTGTTAAGCTCTAAGCATTGTAAAACATTTTTATTAATTTTTATAAGAAAGCAATTACGCCGGGGATTATATGTACCATTAAAAAAACAACAATAATAATAATCTTAAAGCACTCTAATGTAAAATCAATTATATTTTAAGTGAACAATTGATGTTAAGTAAGTGTTGATTTTTACGTTTTATGTGCCAGTTGTTTTTTCGTCTTTAGTTGTGTTGTACTCAAGTAAAGGTTTTTTTTATAGTTTTGTATATTATTTTCTAAAGCACTTACCGTTTTTTTTCTCAACAATCACTGAAAAGTAGCGATGTCATTTATGGTTTTATTATTTCAAAATGTGTCTTTCTCCTCTTCATCTAATGAAGATATAAACCTAAACGTTCATTAGATGAAAAAGGAGAGGAAGAGAATGGAAGACATTTCTCACATCAGACGTAATTATAATTAATGCATTAATTGAGAAAACGCCACACGTATGAACAATCATACTCGACTTAGTTGGCCATAAAATAGAGCCCAGTTTAGAGGGTACTTTAGTTACTTTGTGGATGTTTGGATGTTCATTCGTTTTAATATTAGGACTATTTTTTTGGGTTTTATCAAAATTTCTTTGAAATAAATACATTTTATAAAGTTGCGCCTTTTGTTATTGGGTACATTTAAGTATATATCGATCCCTCCTACGTAAAGTATCATATGTCGAAATTGCCAAGTTTACAGAGGAGCCTTTTAAAGGTCTGAATTCACTGAAAAAAGCACAACACGTTATTTTAGCATTTCTCAGTTTTATTCGGCAAAGCTCGTTACTCATATAGACCATAAAATCCTAATCCTAGATATCGGTTAGATGACCTATTAGATGATCACTCTACTTGAGTAACGAGCTTTGCAGAATAAAACGGAGAACTTTAAAACGCTCCCCTGTATACTTGGCAATTTCGGCATATGATACTTTACGTAGGAGGGGTCGATATATGGATTTATATAATTTAACATGAATGAATTTCTCGATCTACTAAACGACATTGATTTTTATTACCAAAATATTAAAATTTCATTCGTTCCAAATTTTTATCCATCGAGTCTATTTATTTATTTTCCGAGAATACGTTTGTGGTCGAAAGTAGTCCACAGCAAAGCGCTTTCAGAATATCACTCACCAGCTTGTTATTTTGGCACGTCGTAATCAAGAAATTCCATATTTGTAATAAAATAACATTGAGTAAAAGACTTCGGCATTCATTACACGGTTTCCGGCTCTGATGGACAACAGGACACATTAGCCAATTTATTGTACGGTCAATCATATCAATATTGACACTTGGGATTTTGACTTTGGACCCATATAATATACAGGGTTAAAAACGACCCAATACTAGATGTATGTTTCGAAAATTTTGTTTCCGATTGAGAGTAGACAAAGATATTATGAACGGGGCAAATTTAGCATGATATGTGTTTGTAAAAATCGAATGTCAACGCTTACAAAAATGAAAGTATATTGCAGATTAGTAAATACTTATCTGATTAGTAAATAAGACGTTGAAATAGTGTTTTCATCGTGGTACTAAATAGTTTGATAAAAAAGTAGGTTTTGAGAATATTATCTAGAATAGTGACTAGGCGCTAATATTTTTTTGGGTCGATGACGATCCCGTGGGCATAAACCATGTCTTAGTGAGCATTTTTGCTTGCTAAAATTCTATTTTCAGTTACTTCATGCGTTTTTCTCGGTGAAAGTGTATATATTGACCCGCCTTGCAATGGTGGAGTATTAGACGGCTATTCCGGCGAAGAAGATTCGGACAATATTGATCTGCTGAAACGGCATCAGCTTTTGTCCTTGCAGAAGTTGGGGTCCATTATCCTCACTGGCCAAGCTAGAAAAAGATGTGCGCTATATGAGTTAACTGCCTCCGTGGCCGAACAGTTACCATGCTCGACTGCCACGCAGTAGATGCGTGTCGATCGTGATCGATCGAATCAAAATGATTCGAACAGCACCGTATAACCCGGGTTACTAGCTTCTAAATAACCCGATCATTTTAGAGTTTCATGGGTCATGCGCGCAATATTAGACTTTATCACTATAATTTTTTATTCAACAATTCACAATATTATTGTTGTCTCGTTCACTCTCACGTGAAGTCCCCACTCACTAGAATAGAATAGAATAGAATAGAAATCATTTATTCCTTGCAAAACAACACAGTACACATGCGTTTAATAATAATAACATAAAGACTTACACAATAGACCTACAAGAAATTTACAGTCACGAATTATATAATTTACAAATAATAGGGAAGAAAGCGTGTGTGCTGTGCTGCTAAGGAAACCGTAATCCACTCAGCTTGTTGTCGTCTCACTGGGAGTGCTACGACGCTGATTTTCAGCGGATCCGGCAGCAGAACACACGTGGCACGGAACTGCAGCTGGCACAGATGGATACGAAATATAATGTTTGATAGAACAAGCACTTTGATACTGCATGATACACTTTAACATTGCCACAAGCATTGATAATTGTACAATTGAGGTATTAGTTATCAGGTACCAACATACAGGACAATACAGGTAATAACATAACAAGATAATTAAAAGATAGTACATGCACTATTGCAATATGCGTAAAAGCGTACATTTCAGTATAATATGTAGTAAAGTATAAAACATTTTATATAATATTGTATGTATTAAAATTTATAAATTAAAATCGAATGGTTAATAATTGAAATTGGAATTAACTAAATAAATAACAAAATGTAGACGACCCCGACACATCAACAGCTACGTTGGAAATTGCTGAACATTAAGTAAGTAAGTCTTGAGTGATCTTTTGAAATTAAAAATTGACGTTGCATTTCTAATAGGCGGTGGTATATTGTTCCAACATTTCGTGGCAGCATAACGAAAGCTACCACGAAACCCTGCCGTTCGGTGTCGAGGACATAAAAGGCGTGACGTATGTCTGACGTGCATGGATGAGAACTTCAGTTTGTCATACAGGTACGATGGTTGTTTGGTCTTAATAACCCCAAACAGCAACACAGCAAAATGTAACTGACGACGAGCTTCCATCCTCAATAAACCCGCATCAATCAAAAAAGGAGTGACATGCGCTCGAAACGGAACTGGGAAACAATACCTGGCGCACGCATTCTGCAAACGCTGAACAAGATTTCTCGTGCGAGCAAGCAAACATCCTCCGAATACAGAGTCAGCATAATTAAGTTTTGATAGGATCAAGGAGTCGCAAAGCTTTATGCGCAAATCTACATTAATGAAGTTTCTAACACGATACAACACCTTCAGGCGATAAAAACAGTTCCGGATTGTATCAAGGATATGCCCTTCAAAGTTAAGGGAACCATCCATAAGGACACCCAGATTCTGACCACCGGAACTCGGTCCACAGTACTACCCGCTATAACTACTTGTGGGTCACGAGACGTGATATTTTCAATTTGATGCCTTGTACCAAGTATTATAAACTTCGATTTTGATGGATTAAGCACCAAATTATTCGTCTCTGACCATTGGGCAATTCTAGTGAGATCCTCGTTCAAAGTACTAACCGCGCACCGTGTCTCCACAGGATTAAACGAAACGTAAATTTGTAGATCGTCGGCATACAGATGGCACCTGCTGTTCCTAACGCAGTCTACAATATCTGCAGTGTACAAAATAAATAGAACTGGTCCGAGAATGGATCCTTGAGGTACCCCTCTAGTGACGGCGACATCACCAGAGAGCACAGAAGAGCCATCGTCACGGCGCACTTCCACCCGCTGCCTGCGCCCGCTGAGATAGTTAGAGAACCATTTGATAGTATCAGAGTCGAACCCATAGTAAACGAGTTTAGATAGCAACAGTTAGATATTCACAGTATCAAATGCACGAGAGAAATTCAGTAAGGTAAGAATGGATCCCTCCCCAGCGTCTCGCGCAGCCAAAATATCATCCACTACGTCAAGCAGCGCGGTGGCAGCGCTACGACCCTTCCTGAAGCCCGATTGTATTGATGGCAAGATTCCGTTGGTCTCAAGGTACTCCGTTAGTTGCCAACATACGACCTTTTCTACGATTTTTGACATATACGGTAATATACTTATAGGTCGTAAGTCCTTGAACTGTGAGGGAGTGTTAATCTTTGGAATAGGTCTAATTATTGCCATCTTCCACAGGTCTGGGAATTCACCGGTTTTGATGGATTTATTAACCAGAGCCGTGACGAACTCTAAAGTTCGAGGGAGAGTTAGCAACACCATGTCTCTAGAAATATCGTCTGCACCACAAGCACTACTTTTGATTGCGAGAATCGCCTTCGACACAGTAAACTCCGAAACCACGCGAAGTTTGAAAACCGTGGAACCGTGTTTACGGGATGAAAAATAATTCAGATGGTCTTTGTCAATGTTGCAGGAGGGTAAATTAAGAAAATGTGCGTTTATTTTGTCTGGGTCTTTCAATTGTGAGGGAATGTCGCGATCTTTTGCCTTGAAATCGGCCACGTGTTTTTTAATGTTTTTCCAGAGGTCTCGCGGTTTATGAGCGTTGGTAGTAATACATTGCTGGAAATACATGGCTTTCTCAGTATTTATCGCGGACAATGCAAGTTTTTTGAGATTTTTGTAGTACGTTTTGTGCGTGTCCAGCCCAGTATCTCGAGACCTACGATGTGCCTCATCACGCAGTCTCATCATTTCCCTAACGTTGTGCGCAAACCAGGGGAGCATCCCCTCCCTTAAGACAATCTTCTTCTCAGGCGCATAACGATTAAATAAGAAATGAATATAATCATTGAAGCCATTAACAATGTCATTTAGGTTACCCGATAACAATCGATACTACACGGTTCGCCTTCTCACTCTTGGTTTGGGTCGAGAATTTGTTCGATAGAGCATTCATTCGATAGAACCTTCGTTCGATCGAACCAAAAAGTCAACCAATCGATTAACGAGTCAACGGGTTAACGGATCAATGAATCTATCATAACAAATAACGTCTATCAATCATTCATCCTAATTGCCCCGTGGCGTATTGTCCCTTACATGGTAATTTTGGAAGTTTAATCTGTTTTTCGATATGTTGTATTTATTTATGAGTGCACTAATATTAATGAATAATAAGTTAGTAATTGTGAATGCTCATAAGCTTTTTGTTATGTACTTACTATACTTTTGTTTTGTAGGTGTTACTTTTCCTAGAAAGGCATTTTAGTGTCCTGTGGTTTATCAATGATGCATTTAACTTTATACACATTACCCATCAGCAGGAAAAAATAAAAGCTAATTGTATATTTTGACACTTAAACGCCATATGGAAGTATTGTGAGGGACGGGTGACCCGCTCGAAACATGAAAAATCGAACATATGATCGAATCATTTGACCCGATCACATTAGAATAGAATAGAATAGAATTTGTTTATTACTACGCCACAACAAAAATATACACAGTAATAAAATAAAATGAAGATAAAAAAAAAGATGAAGCTAAATTAAAACAAAAAATTAAAATAAAAGTAACAGGAAAAAAGGAATAAAAATAAAATCATACACAACAACAAAGCAAACATTAAATATTCAACA